ATTTTCTTGCAGGTAAAAAGATCTGTCTAATGCTGTGTCGTTGACAGGCTTTTATTTCTTGCCCTTTCAGCAGTTTGCCACGGCATCATACGTGTGCCGTGCTTGTGGGGCACTTGCAAGTTCACTTTGCAGGAACAATGTATTGAAAGGGCCTTCAGGCGTTGAGGAGAAACTGCTCCTGATGCAAATTGTGCTTAACTAGTTCCAAATTATAATCTTAAATAATTTTATGAGGTATTTTCTAATTTTCTGTAAAGCGAATAACTGTAACTAGGTGCTGTTATTTTTTTTTAATACACTTTTGCAAGTTTCTAAGAAATTCTTCTTCCATGGCTGTATGTTTTCTCCTTGGGTTTTATATGTGTTCCTCTGATAAATGGAGGGATTACTGGCAATGTTTTTAGAAGTTAAAATTTACTTCTTAAGATTGAAGTATTTCATAATACTATATCTCGCAGGGCATTAGCATTAACATGTATAAATAACAGCATCCCCTTAGGTACAGCGAAGCACAATCTAAGAGGAAAAAACAGTCAGTCCTAAAACTTTCATAACAAGGTTTGAATCAGGTAGGTGGAGTACAGAGAACAACTATGTTTTAGGTCCATGGTTGGACTGCTGCCAAAATAACTAAAATACCCTTTTTCTTCTCCTTGATATTGAGTATTATACAATATATTCCAGAAGCTTTACTCTGTGAAAAATGAAATAATATAAAATTAAGTATTAGAGCTAATACTGTAAGTAATAAAATCTACTGTTTCATCTTCGACATGTATCTTTTGGTCCTACCATATTATCTAACAGTTTCCGCATATGATAAGTAGACAGAGATACCATTTTGCCTGAGAGGGGGAAGTTATATCTCAACCATAATTTTGGCAGATTTTTGCTTTTGTGTAGTGGATTACACTGGTAATATTGCTTGAGTGCCAAAACTTGGAATGTTGGAATCAAACTGCAAAAGCCCAGCATTTAGTTTCTAGTAAAAAGTCTTCCATCACAGCTTCATTTATTGTTGACATGAAATTCAGCTTTTATAGATATACAAGGAATATAGATGTATACAAGAATACAGTAGAGTATGTTAATAAAATAAGCAATGTGAAAATATGATTTTAAAAAATATATTAATACAATATAAAAATGTGTGGTTCTAGAACATCATACCCCTCTTCCAACTTTTTTGCAAGACACTTTTGCATATTTGATTGCAAAAAAGTGAAATGTGGTGTCAAAATATTCTGTTCGACTTGGAAATACGCACTTTTTATGGTTCTTGACTTCCAGTCAGAAGTGTTTGCTTCTGGCAATAAGTATATTGTCTGAAGTCCTTGATTTTGGTCATACAGGGAAAAGTGGAGAGGAAGAACATGGTGCAACTGGTTCTTTAAATTGTCTCTGTGACAATACATGTTTTACTGACCTAAAAAGCAGACAGTCTACTGGTTTTAAAACAACTTTTTGGTCTTTTCCATGTCTATCTTACAAACTTCAAAGAAACATGCAAATTAAGTTGTGGATTGTTTTGTGCTCTGAGGAATGAAAAATACAAAAGTTTTGCATATCTGAGATTTGCAGTAAAAAAATCAGCACACCTCTGGCGTAGAGAGTTTATTTGGGGATTATATTTGCTTCTAAGTGAGTTTGAAATCGTGTTTTATGTTTGATAGATAGCAAGCAAAGTTAGTTGCAAACTTTAAAAAAAATCAAAAGAGAACCCTTACTCTTTCCAAAACTGAGTTCTAGAGAGTCATGTTATGAAATACTGCTAGTGTTGCACACATCAGGGGTCAGATATTTTGTGCTCTTTGCTGAGGGTGCTGGCCTGTTCAGCTTCAGCTAAAGGGCGTGCATTCCTTCCTAAATTTGGCTTCCCCTGGAAATGAGCACAAGGGAAGATGTGAACTCTAGGCCTCTTCGTCATCCACCTTATTCATAGAGAGTGTACTTAAATTTCTGTCTGTTCATGCGTATCCTCTACTGTGATATGTGTCCTCTGTCCATCCAGCTTAAGTTGTATCTTAATGGATGCTCGGTATATGCTTTTATACCTCTTAAAATTTCTGAAGCTTGCTATATATTTCTTTTTATTATTTTAAACTGTTAAAAATCTTAGTTGTTTTAAAAAGATGTGCTATTATTTCTATGTAATCCTGTAACTGTGAAATGCACGCATTGGAATTTCATGTTTGTATACCGTCAAATAAGTTACCTCTCAGGTGTTTGCTAACCACTGACTTCAGAAACAACCATCACTGAAGGATAAAGGAGTTGCATAGAGCAACAGTTATCAGATTTCTTAGTGAGACTTCATTCTTTTTTCTTAGGCAAGACACAGTCAGCCCTTGTGGAATATAGTTGATATTGTTGATAGACTTTTTACTAGAAACTAAATGCTGGGCTTTTGCAGTTTGATTCCAATATATGCCTGCTGAATGCAAGTGGAACCTGTTACAGCAAGGTGGAGAAAGAAGCAAAAACAAATTTCCAATTTTAATACAGGAAACTTTCCCATCCCCACTTAAAAATGTCTTGCATCTCTTGCTCATAGCTTAGCTTACTTAAAAGTATGTTAAGAGTACCCGTAGGTGTCTCTGGTTTTGGAACTTATTTCTCCTCTGCCCAGATAAATTAATTGGGAAACAAAACCCCTTTAAATTGAAAACAAACTAATTTTTCAAAGAAGGTATTGTTCCTGAAAGTGTGGTGATACCTAACACTACATTGTACAAATAGAGTAGGGTTTTTGTGTGTTCATGTTATGTGAAGATGTTTAAAAAAGACTCTCATGCAAATTCATCAAGTGCTTACCTGAGGCAGTCTACAAATATATAGTAAGAATTTTGTGTTATAAAGTAATAGAATTCAAGACTGAGGAAAATATAGATGTAATTGGTATATTTTATATGCAAATTAAGATTTAATTTACAGTTGCCTATTTTGTGCTAAAAGATTCTTAAGTTATATGGCGAAAAGGTAACTTGAGGACAAATGTAAATACGTGCTGAAATACTTAGCCTAGCTACTTTGTCAGGCCTTAATTTATTGGCTTGCTGCCAGGCTCTTTCAAAATACTATGACCTTCTCATATGGAGCAAAATGTATCTGCCAGTTAATTATTTTTGTCTCAACATTTTTTTAACAAAACTTCTCACAGTTTTTATTGTAAAACAATTCACTATTTGTAATAAATAGATAAATTGGTGCCTGAAGAAAAAAAGATGATGAAGTTTAGATTTTGACTGTCTTTTGATATGCACTCTACTGTCATACAGTTGAATTTTGTTGTTCTTGAAGATATGCTCAATACTCTGCATGTTTGATAGTCCTTCATCCATAAAACTTTTTTTGTATTGCACGTTTTGCAGCAGAATTGTGTTTCATAATGCGTTTTTTAGTCACTTGTGTATACGACAGAAGAGAACCTTTCTGTGTTGATTCAGTGAAGCAACAGTTTAATTATATTGTCATGTCGGCAGCAGTGCTGAATTAAAGGATTCCTGTCCACTGCTTTGTGTTTCTGTTTTTGTGGAAATCATCTAATTCTGGATTAGTTCAATAATCTGGTTCACAGTGCAGTCTTGCAAACAGCTGTCATCACAGCTATAGGGTGGAAGAGAGAGAGGTGATGAGGCGATGTGAGGGGCTGGTATTGTGGAAGAGATATGGAAGATGCTTAAGCAGGCATTGATGCTGATGCGAGCTCCTTTATGCTGAAATGCTGTCCTGACTGAATTGGTTGGGTTGCATCCAGCTGAAACAAGCATAAGACATGTGAGTGATCCCCTTTATTGTAATGGAGTGTTACACCTTAACAGGTATTGTGTGTAAGTCTTACTGTTAATATTCTAATTCTTGTGGGTCCCTGGCAGAGTAAGGCCACGTTTTGTTACTCTTTCACGTAAGGCTGTGTCAGCTGAATCATGATACTGCAGTATATAGTGGAAAAGCTACAACTTCGAGATAAAGGCCATTCTAGCATAGACGCTGCACTATAGATCCTGGTGGGCACTGCCATTTCTTTTTCTGCAGAGAATGCTTATGTAGTCATCTTTTAATGACTAGGACCTGGAAAGGCAAATTACCTGAATTAAAATCACTACTTCTATTGCAAATCAAAATTCTAATGAAACAGTTGTGTAGTTTTGTAACTTCACATTCTCAGAATGAACACAGCTCTATGTATATGTTTGAAGGTCTTAATCTAAATCATTGTGTGTACAAGTAGACTGTACAGTAGATAGTGAACAGAAGAGATGGATTTTAAACTATTAAATAAGCTTGCTTACAGGTTTTGTGAGCAAAAATGCTGAGAAATGTGCTCTGTCGTCAAACTGGATTGGGTCACAGTAGTTTAGGGAACTAGAAATCTTCTGTGAGCTACTTTCCTGTGTTCCAGGATGCAAACATAGTTTAACTTTGCTATCTGAAAACTTAGTTTTTATTTCTAAGAGTACTGTCATATATAAGAAATTTTTCCTGCACCTATACTGCCATCTTGAAACAAGATCTGAGGGGTATGAACTTCCATAATACATTTCCTTTTTATTCATCACTTGTGGTGCTTTCTACTCCTGCCTCCTTATGTTCTTAGCTCAAGATTGGTCTTACTCAGCGTAACTGGACAGCTGAGGGATGGTATCTACTTCATGCTAAAAAGTTCACGTTTAATTTAAAGCTCACCTATAGCTAAGAACCAGTGATTAGTGATTTGAAACAGAAAAGTAATCAGTAAGAATACTGATACAGACATATGGCAGTTATCTTGGTGTAGAACTAATAAAGATGGACTTGGTTATTTTATTTTAAGTTAGTTTTATTAATATTTAAATTTTTATTAAATTTAATTTTATTAAATTAATATTTAGAATTCTAAAATTTGCCTGTGATTTTTATTTGAAAATTTACTGTTAATAAAATTAAAACTCAAAATCAAAGTTAAGCATTTCAAGTGACCCAAATGCTTTCTGTCTGTGTGTCAATTTTCACTTAAGTGAAAAATGCCAAAGCCATTAGTTTCAGGATAAAAATTAATCTGAAAAGTTATCTCTCACAAAAAGGGAAAAGAAATAATATGTGTTTTCCAAGGTAGCTATAAGAATGATCAGGAACAATTATTCAGAAGATATCTGGTACTAGAAATTGTAAGACACCTTACGTTCTGTGTTTTTACAATGTAGCTGTGAATGGAAAGCTACAGCATTTTTATAAATTTATACAATTACCTGACAGTTTCTGAAAATATGTAATTGTCTTTTTATTAGAAGATATTGGTCATTATGTGAACACATCTATTCTACAGGGATAATCTGATTGTTGTGGTATGCAACTAGTACAGTAACGCTATTAGTTTAATCAAGCCCATTAATTTCAGAGCAGTTACATGCAGACAGTTGTGCACCATTTTAAGTGATACTCAGTAAAGATACTAGTTTGGTAATCACTGATAATTAGCATCTAAATGGATTCATTTTTGTTTGTGTGGGTTTTTTTTCTTATTTTCAATCTAGTATGCCAGTGTTGAGAAGGATGGCGAGCATTACATGACCCCAGAAGATTTTGTGCAAAAATACCTAGGACTTCATACAGATCCGCGCTACAATCCTAAAACAGTGCAGCTGTTGGCTGGAGTGGCAGATCAAACAAAGGATGGGTGAGAATTTTGCTTTCTGTTAGAAGATTGTAATGCATTGGTAAATGTGTGAGTGACTGAGTTTGATAATTTCATCTACTAAAATACATAATTGATTTTATTACACTTCAAGCTTATTTAGATCATAAGTTTTTTCTCAAGTACAATAGGCTATACATTTGTGGAAATTGGGAAAAAAATACAGTGTTTAACAGTGAAGAGTTCAATGCATTTTTTAAATTGAGTTGTCTTAATGGACTTTTAACAATTACTAAAAATGCAAAGCAAGTTGAACTGCAAATTGCCTTGGAAAAGTTCTTTTCTGTATACTCAGGTCCATGACTAAATATTATGTAGAGTCTTTAGTACCTGTAATTAAACATGGAAATATGGAAAATATTTCTTAATTCTCTAGTGTGCAATTCAAATCAAACCATCGAGGAGTTTTTTAAAGTGCTGGCTATTAAGAAAGAGAGATGCTAATGACTCTATGAAGGAAGAAGGTGTTGCCTAATCAAGATAAGGTCATACCACATAATGCTTTTCCAACTCTGCTTACAAATGATATTACTTGCTTTTAGACAGTTCTCTGAAACTAATTTACAGAATGTCCACTCCACTGAGGTAGTACCCTCTAACCCACTCATCTTCAAATGAGCCTTTTCTCTTGCTTTATGTAGGCTTCTAGCTTTGGCCTTGGATTGTAGTAGGAAGCATGGCCATTTTTAAAATAAAGTGAAAAGGTTAAGATGGATCAGAGAAGAAGTTCAGAATGCAGAAGGGAGTGGGTTTTTGTAGAGAAGAAAGTTGTTGTTAAAATTGTGTATAGTGCATTTGTAAATACATAGGTGTAACTTACTTTAAATTTGAAAGCCCCTTAGCTTCCTTGGATTTGTGAGTCTAAATCTGACCTTTGACATCACTTAAATGTTTTTATTTTCCTGTGTTCTGCTTTAGAATATTTTACTAGTTTGCATAGTATCCTGAGCAGCTTGCACAGTATCTATGCTTTACAAATAAAATTATATATGCTCTATACATTTTTGCACTGAATGACAAGTGTAGGATATCCTGTTTGATGTAAAGTTACATGATTTTTTTTCATTTTATAAAGCTGCAGCATTTTGATAATACATTTGATATATACATCCATTTGATATATCGAAATAACCTGTCTCTGCTTGTAATACATGTCTGCATTGTTATGGATTGAAAATGCTATTTTGTATTTATCTGTTGAAATAGTAGTCTAATTGGTGACTAGTAAACCAACATGTTGAGTATCTTGTTTCTCTGAAAGTTGTTGGTTATCTTTTATGGTGTGCATTTCTTCAGAAAATGTTTTATAAAACTTTCTTACATTGAGAAATCAGTAATTTATTTTATTCCTACAACAGAACTTTAAGGCATTACTTTTTTTTGTTGATCTCTGTGAATATAAGGGGTTTTTTGTTTTGTTTTGTTATTTTTCTTGTTTTAAATTTGGGTAATGTTTGAAGAGAGGTAATCAAATATGGGTAAGTGTGCTTTATCTACTTCTACATGGGAACAGTGGGAATGGGAATTATTACCATATGGTCTGCAATAAAAGATGTCTGTCTGTCTGAATATCTGTTGATACTTGTTTGAAACTTGTTTTCCTAAATGTTTTAATTTATATTTCTCTCCAATCTGTATTTCACGTGAAGAATTTGTTATGCCCCCATCATCATAATTGGATTATTTATTTTTGCATTCACATTCTTCCTTTTGTAGTGAGCTGTAATGTATCAAAATCCAGGCTCTAAGAACTGTATCATCTGCATAGAGAATTGAATCTGCAGCATGAAGAATTATTGTAATCTTCAACTGAATTCCGAAATATATTACATCTTTCCAAGGACTTAAAGTTACTTTATGAAGTCCGAGGAAGTATCAGTAGTCCTATTCCATACAGACATTTGTAAATTAAATGCAGCCCGAAATCACACAAGTCATTGAGAAGCTTTGGATTCTGTTAAGACATTTCATTCCTGTGTCTCCTATCACGTTCTCTCAGCCTTGCTTGACCTTCAAATAAATATGCCAAGTGGTTTTGGTAACTTTTTTTTGTTAATAATTTTTTATTTAATTTAGTTTTAACTTTGGCACTTTAGAAAAAAAAGCACATTTTGGAACTGGCTGTAGGCATATGTTTAAAAAAAATGTATTTTTACTTTTTCCTGATGGTAACTTGATACTTAATTAACTGTTCTGGAGTACTATTTCCTTCTCCCATTGCTACTGGTTTGCTTTAGTGGGACTCCATAGGGTAGTCCTTAAAACAGATGACTTTTCATTTTCAGAGTGTTTCTTCCTCATTGTTACAAATGCATGTCCTGAGAAATTAATGTGATGAGGTCTAAATTAGAATTTAGCCTAAACTGCCTTGTCTGCTATCTGTTTACAGTGGGATTTCACCGATGGCGTAGGTAAGCATTCCTATGTCATCAGACTGCAGGCACTACTTTTGAAATTAGAATATATATCCTCTCTGAATAATGTACTTATATAGGTATGCCAAAACCAGCTTCCTAATTACATAAATAACATTAGTAGATATTGCAGTTTTAAACCCAAAGATTTTCTTCTCCCTTCAAACCTTCAAAATTTCACAGTAGTAATTCAAAATTCTTAATTTTAATTGCTTGTTTCTGGTTACTCTGCTTATCAGCATATTGTTCTTAAAATTTGGAAATGTCTTCTTCTTAAGCTAAGTCCTGAAGAAAGACTTGATGTTTCACATAATGGAGAGTCACAGCAGAGCTGTCTAAAAGCTATGTTGTGTGGGGAAAAAAGAGAAAAGAGTTGTAGTAGGAAAAAAGGAAAGATAGAGAAAAAATGTAAACACATGGCTTACTTTGTGTGCCTTTGAAGAGTAATGGTACAGAAGAAATAAGAGGAAAGGAATTTTTTTAAAATGTTACAGATAAAATGAAAGGTGAGTGATTTGATATTGTTATGGACTCTGTAATGCAGTGGGTTCACTGAATGATACTTGAGTAGCGATTGGGTGGGAAGCTCCATCATTCTGTTTAATCCAGCTCCTGTTATCTCCGCCCTAATGGATAATGGAGGATCACAGGGGATATCCCTGCTTTTAGGCATTGCAAATTGAATATATGGAAAGGAAATTGAATGTGTCTATCTCCTTTTGCTGTAGGCACTGTTAAAGTGAGACCTCTGAAGACGGCTTCTTTCAGGTTCAGGCCTCTACGAATGCATTCTACAGAGATCGTCACTTGATTCTGTCAGTTATAAAGCTTCCTGGTTAGGAATTAATTTGTATGTCAGGTTTACACTTGTATATGAGGTATATTTTGAAATGATAGTATTTACAATTATTTTAAACGTTACTTTGTTTCTCTGATACTAAACACTTATTTATGAAGATCATCCTTTGGATGAAATTGACTTTGCATCTGAAGAACCATTCTCACATCTTTGATTTTTGTGGCTAAAGTGTGACAAATTAATATCACAATTCTGTATTTGTCATATCTTAATTCCTTTCAAAATCACTACATTTTTTCTGTATTTTCTGTATAGTACATATATGCAAGAATGTTAACATATGTAACCTTGTTTAAATATCTCAGTTCTGCTTTATGTGTATTTTGATGGAGAAAGACTAGATACATGAATGAAGAGTGTGGCTTGAATTTTGTTTCTTTTATTTTTCTCTGTGGAACAGAATTTCTACTTGGCTCTTTAGCAGTAAGCAGTATAGGTGTGCAGTAAGCATTATGAGTTAATGATCTCCTATGAAGGGTACTAAATTCAGATAAATTATTTACATTTTCTATGAAAATGTATCATCTACAGTGATATTCTATGTTTTAACAGCATCTACTGAAATAGTAATATTTTTGTTTAATTTAAAAATGTAATTAAAATTCTTATTCCTGTTGATAATTTATTTGATGCTAAAATGGATATCCTATAATTTATTTCTATAAATTTTGTTCAGGAACTCACAACAGGATGGAATATTCTAACTCATCAAGCTAAGTCCCCTATTTTTACAAGGATGAAAACACACAGTAGTTTTACTAAACCAAGCGTGCTGTTAAAACCTAAAGCTTTTGCTTGCAGTATTCTGGAAAGGCCACAGTATATGCCTGCTCCAAATACCTTTATGGATACGTGATTTTGTTCTTGTGACAACATTATCCTTTATCTTCTCCTGGCTTGGGGCTTATCTTTCTACAGCTGTTCTTACATGCAGCATTAGAATCCCTTCTAAATATTTTTTCTGTTAGTCTGAGTAGGATGAATTCCTCTAGAAAACTTATTTCTGATTATCCTAATAAGCTACATGTGCACACGTTCAAGTCTGAGTTTATAAGTGTTGAACACAAGGACTTGGATTTCTGTGCTGCATTTCAGACATGTTGTGGGAAGCCTATCTGGGGATACCACTGCTTCCTTATCTCACACAGAAACAGCTTTCCTAATGTATCCTGAGTTTCATTTTTCTATATGGTGACTGTCTTGCATACACAGCTCAGAATCTTGTGATCTGCTGTTACACGCAAATCCTTCCCTGCCTTGGTCATGTCTATCTGTCCTTATGTCCAAATGGTCTTATAGCGTCTTTCTTTCTTTCTTGTCCTCAAGTACATGACCTTGCGGTTCATGTTATATTTGAAGTGTAATATTTTTTCTGTATATGTAGTAAAGTATAACTTTTTTTGAACCTGTTTGTTTTTTATGAATGCTATATGTTGTTTTAAGAAAATACATATATTGTACAGTATATTCCTATACTTGCATTAAACTATCTTTTATTTCTCAGTAGAAATACATATATAAATTAGTAACATAACGACAGCCATGTAAATTTCATGGTGGTAGAATTTCTGTGGGTTTTTTATGTCTTTATTACAAGGTAATAAATTGTAGGTATTCACTGAGAATTGATTATATTTTGTTGTTGATGGATATGAAGAATTCAGTACTTTTATACTGGAAGAAACTGAGTTGCATAAAAGTTAGGTCAAGTCACTACCTAAATGTAACAAATAACAAATACTTTTTCAGGTTCTAGTGTAGAGTCTTTTTTATATTAGAATTTTATTTTAATAATTGGATCACACAGTTTTCTAGAGCATGAAACACAAAATATCATTGGTATTGTGAATAATTTTTTGAAATCTTTATAATGTCTGTATTTTCCTTTGTAGGTTGATTTCCTATCAAGAATTTTTGGCATTTGAATCTGTTTTGTGTACTCCAGATGCAATATTCATTGTTGCTTTTCAGTTATTTGACAAGAGTGGCAATGGAGAAGTAACATTTGGTAAGAATATCTAAAGAAAAACTGTTTAAGAAAGTGATTATAATAGTATAAATTGTAATACTGGTTCGTCACCATTGGTTGCATAGAAATACATATTGTGCAGTACTGCACTGATTTCCTAACAGTTTGCATGAGTAAAACATTTTTTTTCTTTCAAGTGATACATGCTTAAGAAATACACATAAACAAGATATATTTTGCTCTGTCTTCTTGAATCAAGATTTTTCATGTTCCTGAAGTAGTTAATACAATGCTGTTTTGTTCAGTGTCATCGTAAGTAAAGTTTTGTGGACTTCAAACTTCTTCAGCAATGAGGGATTTTTAAAATATGTCCTGGATTTCCACATATCTTTGAAGAGTTTTCATTAAATACAGTAAGAGCTCAATATAGAAATGAAGGAGGTCTAATCTTTTGAATTCCTAGTTTAGTGTTCCTTTTCTTCAGGAGCAAATCTTACTTTAATGTTATGAGTGTAATTTACAACTAGATCATATATTTGAAAAATTAGGAAGAAGATATGGCCTTTCACTTTTGTTACTTTTTTTTTTAACCTAATCACATAAATTAGTAATTGAACAAAAATCTTTAGGCTAACTATACTGCTTTATGATGTTGCTAAATAACTGTTATTGACATTGCAGTTTAAGGAGGACTAGGTTTTATTTTTAAAACTTCATATGTTTATGAACATTAGATAAATCAATGCTAAGAATTTTAATAAAATGGAATGAGAATTAAATGTTATTTATATCCAAAGAATAAAGCTCTCAATAAAGAAAATGCAAACTATACTTGGATTTGTAAGCACTTGCTGTTTGTACTATTTCATTCTTATGAAAATTATGGCAACTTGTTGGAAAAAAAAATGCAAGGGTCTTTTTATGGAAACAAACTGCTTGACTTATTATGTCTGTTAAATTACATCATTAACTGCAGGGTCAAATACTAAGCAATTTGGATACACAACATCTTGAAAATAAAATCTTTTAGAACTTAAGTAAAGGTGAAGTCAGTAAATGCAGTCATTAGGAATTAGACAAACTACTACAATCAGTGTGACCATGTTAATGATGGTATGTTTAATAATCTCACAAAACGGGGATACGTGCTTTGTAGCTCTCGTGAACACACTTGAAATAGCTGGTTCTGTAAATGAACAAAAAGTAATACCAGATTGTATACAGATTCCTCAATCAGACTGAGAATTGTTATTTTTACAAACATATCATTATATTAAAGGCTAAAAGAACAACACAAACAAGAGAAACTAAAACAGAAAATGGCACATTTTTTTCTGTATCTTTCTCACTGAATTTTTTTTTATAAGGCTGATAAATCTTTTTAGAGGAAACTCTTTAGGGAATTTAAAATTTACTATTGGTTTCTTGTTTTTACAAAATTAATTATATTGTGATTATTACTATATTTAATGTTATGCTGTAACTTATCAGTGGTACATATTTTTGTGCTACAGTTCCCACATTTACTGCTGCTTATTTGCCTTTTTTTTGTTGTTTGTAACATGGGCTACTTATTTTTACTTCATAGGCATATGATACAAATTAATGCATGTGGGAAAAATGTGGATGAAGATATATGACATGTTCAGAATTTGGTAACTCTTCAGCCAATTTCCAAGTCAGTCTTGTGATCTGTAAGGGCTGTTTTATAAATAAGTCCTGCACTCTTTCATTTTCACACCACATAAACAGAAAGGCACAGAGTTTAGTTTCATGTAAAAACAGGACAATATATAAAATCATGTCTTAAAGTGAAAAGTTGTAATAAATTATTAGAAATATACTGAAACGGAGTAAGTTTAGCCAATCAGTGAGAACTGCCATCAGAGAAGTCAGCTCTCTTGTATGAGTGTGTGATGTATCCAGTCTGCAGATAAACCGTGTTGGTTATGGTAGCAAACGTGAGTCAAGATTTTCTAGCTCAGATGCAGTGCTATGTGAATGTGATTGCACTGATTCCAAAGCTAACTTAAGCCAGTAAGTCTTGCCAGAAGTGACATGGATTTACTAAGGTTTTTCTGCACTGTGCATCTGGAACAAGGGGTGGAGGTGCTGGAGAGTGGAACACCACATCAACTGGGGTCTGTTAGGCCAGTAACTTGAACCGAATGCTGGCTTTGCTGGACAATGAGATAATGTCTCAAAATCATTTGGGTATGACTGTATGGCATTTTCAAAAAATATCCTGATCTACTCAAATTTTCAGTTTCCTGGAGAAAGTTAAGTGTACTTGTTGATTTTTAGAGCTGGCTAGGTATTTGAAAGTAAGTTGCTCCAGTCAGGTTCACATCTCCTTTTTAGGATTTGTTTACTGACAGGGACTCGGACCATACTTGAGCACTTTAGCTTCTTGCAGTCCTCTTTAGCCTCAGTCTGCCACTTGTCTCTTCAAAAGTTTAGCTTCCAACTCTCCAATGAGGAAACTATTAATTAAATTGTATTACACAAGAACCTGTGTCCTAAGAGTTGAGAAGTGGAGGAGGACAAAGAGTTTATGATTCTTTGGAAACTATTTGGTAAAAATACTTGTTAGCTATGCTATGCTAATCACTGTCTTTGTGCAATATCATATGTTAATTGGGATTGTTGAAACAGAAAGCCTTCTGTCACTTTAGTGTCATCTGCTTTCTTATTGCTTTGGGACATTTTTCCAGGAGTTTTGGACATCCAGAAATCCTGTATGAATGACTGCCGTAAATGTGCAGATAGTATGCAGTATTTGTATAGTAGGTCCATTGCAAGAACATGAGATTGGACCTACTTTGTATGAGCAAACTGAACAGCATGCTCAGTACTCCTACAAGTTTCAGCCTGGACTTGCTGTCAGCTTGGTGAATAAAAAGCAGTAAAATTACTATTTTAATAACCCATTGATAGAAGCAACAGTGTAGTTTAAATTACTTTTTAGTTGTGGAGAAATAGAAAAAAAGCATTTGTTTTCCTGATCAAATGCTTGTATGTCTTCATAAGTGATTCCTGGGTGAATATTTTATGGGAAATGTGTTGCTGATGAGCCCTTACCATATTGCTTTAACCATGAAATATTGAAAAGGTAACAGCTAAAGCTGATAAAAGTGATTTTTTTTTCATGCATTGTCTTTCTTGTTGTGGGTTGCTATCTCTAGCCAGAGAAGACTGAGAACCACTTTGCTTTTTTGATCATGGGACATAATTGACTAAGCCACTTAACATGAGTGAAATATTTAAAAACACTCTATAAAATTAATGCTGTCGTACTAAGGAAGCTTCTTTTTATTGCTATTCTGTACAGTTCTTTTGACCTGAGTTTAGGTTAAAGCAAACCTGAATATTAAATCTGCTCAAGCTATTTGGTTTGCTTCAATGTTGAAGCAGATAATCTTTGCTATGGTTAAAAAGTGAAGTCTGTGACTATCACCAAAACTTATCTCAAAAATAGGTTTTCTAACTGGAAGTAAAAGGATTCTTTGTAATTTATCCCTTTAGCAGAGCATACAATGATCTGGACTGTATCACTTTTAATTGGAATGTACAATTTCAAGGCTTTTTCCAGCTGTTCTTCCTTGTAGAATCACCACAAAGAAAGCCATTCTCTGATAAACTGGAGAATTGCAGAGACACTTTTTTAGTTAAATACCAGTGCTGGTATGCATAGAAAGATAGAGCTAAAATAATGAGATTTTGAAACAATTTTACTGCCTTCATGTTTGTGATTCTTCTGTATTCAGAATTTTTACATTATTTTGGAGATAATTGGAAAATATTTATGGAACTGAACATAAGGCTTTTTAAAACATCCTGCAGCTCAAAATCCAATTAAAAATATTTTGCAGAGTATAATGGCCTCTTCTTTAAGGGCACTGAGGGGGAGTAAGGGGTTTGGTTACCTAGTAATGCAACTATGTGAAAATTACCTTGGTATTGGTGGACTGAAGTAATAAACATCAATGTAATAGTTTCAGAAGTTGGATATACAGTGATACTGAAATCTCGTCCATCTGCTTCCTTAAACAAATTTTAATCTGGGAGAGAAAGTTCAGACTTCCCTTAATCAGGGCATAGAGTTTGAGAACACTGGAAGAAGGTGAGTGAGAAGAACAAGAGAAAGGAGTTGAATGTATGTTCTTATAGTTCTTGGATTTTGAGCATTATTTTTCAGGAAGCACAGATCACTCTTAGTACTGGCTCCTCCACCATTTCCAAAAGAGCAATTGGATTGAAAATGCTAGGATTTGGATTTAATCTTAAGAGTTCTGCTTTATAAAATATTATTTGCAATGATAAAGGCTGGAAACCTTTTAAAATGTAAACAGAAAAAAACCTCATGATCATATGGCTACAGATCTGAGGATATAAGAAAAACACCATGCTTTTATCGAGTGTGTTGTAAACTAGAACTGCTGTTTTTCTTGGCTTCCTGATAGCCATACATTAGTTGCCTGTTTTCAAGATGTCTTTTGATTAACACATGCAGATAATGTAGGAAACACCACTGTATGTTATGACTTCTTTTTGTCCTCGTGTTTTTTTGTTTCTTTCTTTCTTTCTTTCATTCGTTCCTGTTGTATTATTCTTTCATGTTTAAACCACAGTTTTAAACACTTGTAAGCAATCCAGGATGGGAGCACCTCATTTTTTATAATAATATAGTATTAAGTTCTAAACCATACTTCATCAAGAGGGAATGGAAAAGGAGAACTCCACATTAAAATTATAGATATTGACAATTTGTTGTTACGGCTGTCAATAATCTTAACCTTAAACAGAATCACTAATAATTTTAAAATAAAAGCAGAAATACAGTGTAACTATTTCTAGTTTAGCTTTCTTGCTTTTCCTACCACTTGTCATTTTGCTCTCACGTCAAAGTAATTATTGTATTCTCTGCATTTGGATCACTCTTAATATGCTTCTGTTGCATCAGGTGCTACAAAATAAGTCTCTTTGCCTTTAACTGTGATTCTTTATTTTATGCGTTTAGGTGAAAATATGTAAAATTTTCTGTAGGCAGAAATAGTGAAAAACAGCAACATAGAATACCTTAAAATGCATTATGTACATTAAGGCTGAAATATGTACAAATGGGACTGTAGATGACTGAGCAGACAGATTTAAAAAACCCCCAAACCTATTAAACAACAAACCTTTAGCATACTTCTGCTAGTACTTAAAACTATTGCCTTCAAATTTTTGTGTCTCTAACAAGCATGATTGATGTTCCGTCACTGGTGAGAGGGGCTGGCAAACTCTGTTAACAGGTTGATGGCTCTGGAATTGTGTGAGGTTTCCACCCTACTTTCTGGGGAGCTGATAAGTCAAAGTAAATAACAGGTACTACCTCAAGGCTTACTTGGGTTACTGAGCTCATCCCCACCATGGGCCATCAACAAGACATCTCATTGTTTATGACTTAAAGCATTCTTCCTCCTTTGATGAAATTCAGTATTGCCTAAAAACTTTGTTTTTCTTACATCGTTTTTCTGAGCCCGATAGTAACAGTGTTTGATGGAGGTTGAGCCAGTCATGTGTATGCTGCCTGCAGATAGCTGCTCCAGCTATAATTTGTTTAAAATGATTGGGTGGGGAAATTCTGAAGCAATCTTGAGAGAATGCGTGTCGCCTTGGAGGTAATGTACTAGTGCACTAGAGTAGTAGGTTTATTGTTCCTGGGGCTGATGGTAAGTCGAGTATGTCATCAGGCTACTGACTTTTATGCCTATCTGAGAAGAAAATGCATTGCTATAAGCCTGGAAAGAAAGTTATCAGCTCAGTAGGAAAGAATTCCACTGTGGAAAGGTGAGCAAAGAGTAGGAGAAGACATTAGTAAATGAGCAAGATGTATTGACAGGGACAATGAATGCATTCTGTAAAATGTCATACTAAAATGAAAGGTTTTAAAAATAATTTGCTGTTTGTCCCCTGCAGAATAGCTCCGTTGGAAATTTGAAGTACTTGTAGTTTATTTTAATTTAGAAGCTTTACTTGGTTTTGACTGAGGGAGATAAAAAAAAAAAAAGCAAAAAACCCAGCCCAGTACTTTAGTGTTACCTGTTTTCTTTGTTGTCAGTGCTTTGCTTCTGCTGTGAAAAAATAAATTAAAAATAAGACATACGATCTCATAATTCAAAGTGGTGGAAGTGTAGGTGATGATCACATTATATATAATTTCTGAAATGTGATTGTCTGTTTGCTGCTTCTCATCACACGAGTTGTTGTGGTGATGGCTATTTTCTTTAATATAAGAGAATAGCCGACAAAATGGGATTAAAAAGGTATTCGTGATACATTGTGAAGAAAAAATCGCTACTCTTGGGTAGAAGTAGTAAATGTTAGTGCTTATCTAGAGATCTTTGAGAATTCCAAATGGCTTTAGAAAATTGTATTTAGAGTTTCAGTGGTTTTAACTGTGTCAGTTATTCACAACAGGTACATGGTTTTGTTCCTGTACCCCAAATGTTTCATAAACAAAGCCAACATGGAATTAATTAAGCATTAGATACAACAGTATATCCTTAAAACCAGACTACTGTAATACATGCAGCATACGTTACTGATCGTGAGTGATTGCCCGTGGAAGAAAAATGAATAAGGCACCTCAATTTTCAGAGAAGCAACAGGCTAATTTGGATACCATTTTTTAAAGCTAGTTAGCCACTACTGGGATTCTTCAAGTACCAATACACTCTTGAATATAAATTTGTTAATTCATTTACCAGTATTATTTTTATGTGCTGAAGAACCTTGACTTGTGATGTGTTGACGACTAGTTGTAAAGTTTTTTAAGAAGGAAAAATTAATAGCGTAGGAAACGGATTCTTGGTTGTTTAAGAAGTACACCATTAAATGCTTGAATTAGAGTTGTGAAAAGACCAAGGGCTTAAGTCTCATTAAAAATAATTGGAAGATGTTTCTATAAGAGCATGTGTGAATAATTTCTTATAAGAAAAAAGTGAGACTTTTTTTTTTAACCTTTCTCTAAGGTTAAAAGAAAGAGTTACTGGGAAATGCAATTTAAATTTTCTGGCTGCATCAGGATGTTCTTTTCTAAGTTTTCATTAGGAAAAGACAGTGTGTATTAGAAGTCAGTTTTACAGATGTGTAAGTAGTCACTAGTTGGCACCCTGTTTGTACACTAGTAGCCAAGCCAATCAATCCAATTAAGCAGGCTTGTCTTCCGTTCCATTCACAGTTCAGTGCCATTTTGCAAGCTCAGTAGTGAGCTGCACTGGTCTGTGTGTGTTTGTAGTACATGAAGACTCTGGGTAGGTTGGTCAGAAGCTGCAGTGAGTTTGTGGTAGGGGGGGAACTTAAATTTACTTCTCCTGGTTCCTTGAACTAGCAATGATGAATAAATCTACTTCAGATTAAATAAAATAAAACTTTCAATGGAAGTTTGGCAAAATAAAATAGTTTAGCACTGCTGGGTGCTTTATCTCTCATTTTCTTAACCCTCACCTTCCATATTGATAACAGTGAATAGATACGAATGGAGAGTTATAAGTAGGGTAGTTCCTTAAGTTTCTTGTTTACCTGAACAGCTCCTTTAGCCTATGTTGCAGTGGAAGTTATGGCTTAAATTGCAGGTTTTTGTCTATAGTCTCTGTTTGACCTTTAAGTAAGGGCTAAATTACAATTTAATCATTTACTAGCCATAATCTGCCCTTTGAATATGTAATCTCAAACTAACTGTGAAGCAGGTGATCTAGCCAAGGAATCCTACTTTGTACATCCCTATTCTGAGACAGATTTGTTCTGAATGTTCCCCTTCCTTTCCTCACTGAAAAGATAAAACCACGTAGTGATTTGCCTCGATTTGATCTAGAAATCATAGAACGGCTATAGAATTGAAAGAATGAATGAATCAAGTAGTCCTTTAACATAAACATAGAGAAAGCAACACATTTACTCCAAGTAAATTGCTCTTGATGGAGTTATCAAATGATGTGAAAGTTCTCATTACGTTTTGTCTTTTAGCAGAACTGTTTAAACATATAAAAGAAGAGGTCTGTTTTCAGCTAAAATATTTTGTACTTTGTTTTAAATCTAAGCTATAAGCCGTGTTTTATTTTGGTTATTAGGAAGTTCTAGGTTAGTTGATAAAAACAAATCAATTCAGGTACTTTGAGGTAGATTTTGAAGTATTCATGTAGTATGGATAGATGTCCAGTTATACTGTTGATGTGGTTGGATAATCTGCACAAAAAGAAGGCTTGTTTTGCAGCATGGCAGTGCTGTGTATGAATAATGCAGGCTTTTTTTTTTTTCAAATGAGGTTTTTGACTGAATTCAGATAATACATTTGGCATTGAAATTTCAGTTGTACAGTATACATATGGAGAATTCCATATTCTGAAATGACAGGTTTTTTCTTTACTTCATTTAAAAGAGGACATCTCTATCTTCACTTATCTTAAAACATTTTAATAACTGAGACTACCAATTATGTTTTATAGGATTTGATTTTTGTGCTAAGGCCTTATCAAAAGCTTTTAATAAGGTGCTTTCTGCTGAGTTAATGATATGTTTTAGATGGCATTTCTTATACCTATCTTCAATAGACATATTCAGACAGTGTGATTGTAATAATCAAGTTTCAATCAAACCATACTTAGTATGACAAATATTGCGTGAGATTGTAATGCAGGTATTCGTGCTCTTCATAAAGGGCTTAATTTGACTCCTAGCAGAGATGGAGCACCACTATTGATTTTTATATCAGAATGCAAAATAGCTCTTATTTGTCATGTATGAGGGAAATTCCTTCTTAATTAAAACTAAATAAAACACTCACTCCAAGATTTTATGCAGTAATACAAAAATTGTCACATTGTGTCGCAAATGTGTTCTTATACAGGTCTGTAAAGGTTCAGTTAGCAATTGTTCTTAACAAATTAAACACTTCTTAAACAGCTGCTTAAAACATAATTTGTTTGTATCCTTCCTGGAATGCTTGTAGATTTACTGTACCCTAAAGCTCACTTGTTGTTTTTCCCTCCCCCAAAGCAAATGTCAAAGAAATATTTGAACAAACTATTATTCATCTTCAAATCCCCTTCAACTGGGACTGTGAGTTCATTCGCCTGCATTTTGGACATAACAGGAAGAAGCACCTTAACTATTCAGAGTTCACTCAGTTTCTTCAGGTCAGTTATTAAACTTCTTCCAAAGTAGAACTGACATTAATTTTCACTTCTAATAATACACTAATAACATTATAAATTTTGAGCTTATTCTGGTAGTGATGATAATTATCTGATAATAATCCTGACAGTTACGATGAACTGTTACTTCTCCATAACAGTTCCGTAAACAGTGGGTACTCATTGTGCTTTAACTCAAATACCGTCCTATAAAAGAATGGGACTAAATATACTGTTTATGAAATTAATCATTTTACCAATTATTATCAAACTGGATTGAGTGTCTACTTTTTCTGTCATAGGAATTTAATAGCAAAACTAACCTCTACCAGAGAAAGATTGCATCGTTAGTATACCCAGGTGTTATATTAACCGTATAACCTCCCACATAAAGGTTTTAGGTTAACATTTCTTTTAATTTTAGATGCGTCATCCTAATACTTACTCTTTTTTTCCTTCACTGGCATGCATGCTACCACACATATATTGGGAGTTTGGTCTTACATGCAGCCAGCTTCGCAGGAGTGAGATCTGCTTTCCTGAGGTGTTGCTGAAGCACCTTCTAGGGATCGGGATTTAAAGGATCTCACTCCTAGAACTGGACTTTGTGCTAAGTCAAAAAGTTACAGTAAAAACATTATGATTTGAACATTATACTAGAAGGAAGTAAAGGAAGACATCAGTTATAAAGGATGGAGGAAGAGGGAAGTAGGAGAAATGTATGTTATAATTCATGAGAAAGGAGTTTGCCGAATTGTAGGTAATTGCACCTAATTCCATAAATTAACATGCAGTGATCACCTCATGATACTACTTAAAAGTTTTCTGTCTAGTACACCTGAAGAAAAATAGATTATGCACTTCCAGAGCTGGCCTTTGATACAAAACAGTTTTGGACATACTGTCTTAAAAGTAGGGATAGATATGCTTTGATATACTCTGTAATTATTGTCCAGGATAAAAATAGATCATAGAATAGTTTGGGTTGGAAGGGACCTTTAAAGGTCATCTAGTCCAACCCGCCCTGCAATAAGCAGGGACATTTTCAACCAGATCAGGTTGCTCAGAGCCCCATCCAGCCTGACCTTGAATGTTTCTAGGGATGGGGCACCTACCACCTCTCCGGGCAACCTGTTCCAGTGTTTCACCATGCTCATTGTAAAAAATTTCTTCCTTATATCTAATCTGAATCTACCCTCTTTTAGTTTAAAACCATTACCCCTTGTGCTATCACAACATACCCTACTAAAATGTCTGTCCCCATCTTTCTTACAAGCCCCCTTTAAGTGTTGAAAGGCTGCAATAAAGTCTCCCCAGAGCCTTTTCTTCCCCAGGCTGACTAACCCCAACTCTCTCACCTCTCAGCAGGAGAAGTGTTCCACCCCTCTGATCATTTCTGTGGCCCTCCTCTGGGCCTACTCCAACAGGTCTTTCCTGTACTGAGCTGTATCTAGATCCAGAGCACACTCAAGAAAAACATGTCTAACTAGATAGGATCTGAAGTCTATATTGTAAGTTGAGGTACTGGAGTTTGGCACAGTCTTTCAAGGCTGTGGTATAACTCGATGTTACTTTCAAGGAATAAACTGTGTCCTGTGTTTGATACTACATATTTTAAGTGATGCCAGGCACAAATTCGGGATGCTAGTGCAGAAAAAACCTAGATTGCTAGTGGGAAGAATCTTTTTGTTGGGAACCCAGAGCAAAGTGATAAATACCTGTTCTGTTTTTATGTTTATTGTTCCAAGATACTGTAATGTAAGATACAGTAACCTCTAACTGTAATCGTATAATAAAAACCATTAGTAGGGAAGGGTAGTAGGGGCTGCGGTAATTTCAATATGCGCACGAGTTGGATATTGTTGTCCCTCCTTTTAGATCAGGCTAGTTTTCTTACTTGGTCTAACAGCATTTGTTGGGGTTTGGGACTTGGATCAGAGCAGGCTTGTTGCACCCTGATCTAGAAAACCTTGATCTTGAGTTTATAAGACTTGAGAAATTACTGTAAAGGTGATATAAGCTAGATAGTTTGCCCTCTTCTTATTGTCTGTCAGAACATGGTTATTATTTTAGCTACTTCTAGAGGTCTGAATGACAGCAGAATGTGTTTTATTGTTTGCTTGAATAGAAGGAAACAACTTTTTCTGGACATAGAATTTACAATCATCATTATTATCTTGAGGTTAGGTTACTGCAGTGTGCTTTATATGAAGGTTTTTACAGATTGTATAGGAGTTTTAAATTGCCTGAAATGAGTGGCCATTTCTGACATTATGAGAGGTAGCTGTTGGGGGCAATCTAAATCTATATTATATAATTTTCACTGTCCTCCTGTTTATTTTCAAGTACTTTTCAATGAGTTTATAATAGCCCAGCCATATTTCATCTTGGATGTGTAAGGGATCCGCTCACTTTGAGTCTTTAAGATCAATATCAGAATTTTCTCTTGCAGTTAAGTATTTAATAAAGGAATAGATAGCAGACAGGACGTGTGTATGTGAAGTTTATTTCTCAAATAATTTAGTGAAAGTGCATATTTCCTTACAGTTGAGGCTTTTCTTTGACAGAGGAATGAATCTGTGGATGGAATCAGTATGCAGACTTCTTGTTTTAGTTGAGCTAGCCTTTAAACTGTAGTTGTGCTGTGGTCTCCATGCAGAGATGTATTGAGGCATGCTGTAAGAATATGAAATTAGTGAGAGTTTTGTGAACAGTGAGTTACAAAATTTGCTTCTAATCTGCTATTTCTGAATATCCATTCTAGGAGCTGCAGTCAGAACATGCAAGACAAGCCTTTGCATTGAAGGACAAAAATAAAAGTGGTATGATAACTGGGCTGGACTTCAATGACATCATGGTTACCCTTCGCTCGCATATGCTGACTCCATTTGTGGAAGAAAATTTAGTTTCAGTAAGTATAAAGAAAAATGCCTTGAATTCAGCATTTAGTAGCTGTACTGTTTAAGATGTTACTGCTTCTCTCCCACTTTGTCTTCTCCTACCTGTTTATCACTGCCTTGGTGTTAGAGATTATCACCTTCATAATAGAGTGGGAAGGTTGAAACATGGCAGCACTCCTTGGCTGCAGTAGTGGAAAAGTCTGGCATGTCTGGTTTACATGCTTAAAGGGCAGTTGGAAACAGTTTGAGTTAGTCTACTATGCTTTCCACTAAAGCAGGGCAAAACTGTAGCTGGCACAAAAAGAACATTAATTTAGGACAAACCCAACTAATTTTTATATTTGAATATATGACAAATCTCAAAAGATGAAGACTACTTACAGTTTTGTCCTTTTATATACTCTTACATTCTTTTCTTTTTCAGATCAGAATTTGGAAAATCAGTATGTAAATTCTAGAGGTAGAATGGTTACAGCTGTGATAGTCTGGCAAGATCTGTAGGTAAAGTAATGACATAAAAGTTATAAACTAAAAGTTTATAGTATAAAAAGGATATAAGAATGAAAATTATATAAAATATGAAGTAATAACTTTAATCTTACTATTTTACCTATAAGTCTTGCCTTGCCTAACTAATAAGGCATACCATCTCCTGTAAAATGTATAGTTTCTACTAATTTTAGACTTTGAAATAAATGGTCACTGCTGTATGTGATGCAAGAAGTCAATTAGTACCTTTATCTAAAGTAACATTTACATGCATTTCTTTTAAAAATAGATAGTATTAGAAAAATACTGAATGACACACTTAGTGTGTGTATCAGATAAATTGAATAATAATCTACTTATGTGATTATTTCCTGATCATTTCCTAATGTTCAATTTTTACCAAAAAAAATCTTAAATTACAGGAATAGAAAGATATTTTTAATTTTTTCCTTATTGCCCAAATGGATGTTTCTGTAATTTGTAATAAGATGTTGTAAAAGGTCTTAAGGCACTTAATTGCATTCATTTAATTTTTAAAGGTAGCTGGTGGAACTGTTTCACATCAGGTCAGCTTCTCCTATTTCAATGCATTTAATGACCTTTTGAATAACATGGATCTTGTTAGGAAGATATACAGTAATATAGCAGGTACAAGAAAAGATGTTGAAGTCACAAAAGGTAAAGTATATTTCCTACATTTTATTATTTTTTTAGTTCTGTTCAATTTGTAGTCTGATGTTGTGTATGAGTTAAGGCAAGTCAGAAGCTGCAATAGCATGCAAGGTTAGCGCTACTGTGAAAGTGTCTGAAGGGTGATTTTCATCCTCACAGATTAGTAATGAATTTCAGCTAGCTCATTAAGGAGAAGAATTGGGATTCTGGCAGGAGCCATGTTGACCTTATTAGTTGGAATGGATAACTGCAAATCAGTATATTATTGAGGATTTTACCACTCCTTGAAAGTGATGCATGGTTGCTTAGAGACAGAAAGTTCCTAGAGAATGTGATAGAGTGGGTTAAGTTTGAAAATCCATTATCAGTAATCTCCATGTTGTTTTAGCTCTAGGTACTTTATCCATGATTAAATATTTTTTTTTAAATGGTAATAATTCATAACTTCTTAGTGCTTACTTGCCTGAGTGGTTTTATATGTAGTTTATGTCTGTTAGGACATAGCTAATTCCTGTGCATATGAAAGGTTGCCATATTTCAGTCTTGCTGCGGCATGAGTGGATTGCTTTTGTAGTTATTTTATGACAGATTTTATCACCGATTTTATTACCTGTATGGATGGGACCAGCAAAGCCCATGCGTGGTAAAAAGCATGCCAAGTTCCATTTTTTTCTTCTTTATTTGGCTTATGTTCATGTGCTCTGCATACCTTTGTCCCTAAAGGAAAGCATAAAATGCCTGTCCTCATCCTCCAAATTGTCCTAACAAATTGTCTAGCAATGCTTTTTGGTGCTAATGCATAAGTACATCTTGCTTGGATTTGTGTTGTGAAAAAAAGCTACTCTGTTTTCACTGCTCAGACTTGTTTACTGAAGCTTGCCAATTATGTCATGAACATGTCATGTAATTTGGCTAGATGAATACCTAAGCTTGGGGTCATTCAGAGCTAGGAAAGAAAGAAATCTGGACATGATGGCAATAGATGAGTCAGTTACCCTTAGAGCTGTGAATGATGGACCATTATTCTGTTCTGTTCTGTTTTGCAGAACTTCAGAAGCAAGAATTGTGGGTTTGGTTTTGTTAAGCTTGCTAATGTGAGGATTTTTGTTGACTTTGATGAATTCTTACTGTAAATCAGAGTTGTGGACTCAGACTTGCTCTGTGTTGAAAAGGCTTTTTTCAGGATAGATGTGCTCCTAAAGATATCTTTTTCCCTTTGCATTATAGGTTTTGCTTCTTGGTGATTGATAGATTCAATTTTTATGATATTAAAGTTGTTTGTGAGCATTTAAAGAGGAAATCTGTCAAATAACACAATTGCTTTATTTCTCTTTTCCTTTTAATTCCAGAGGAGTTTACCCACTCTGCAATCCGATTTGGACAAGTTACACCACTGGAAATAGATATTCTCTACCAACTTGCAGATTTATACAGTGTTACTGGGTAACATAATAGTTTTGTCATTTTACAATCATTATTGTGTGAAAACTACTCATTTTGTCTTAATTTTAAAAAGCTGTGTGTTCCATTGTATTTCATTACAGTAATTTGTTCAATGTAATCTGACTTTGGTGTATGCATGGGTTTTGTAAGTGAATTGTGTACATCAAGCACAATTATTAATTGTCTCACTATAGGTTTACATATAAAATAGCAAAATACATTACAGTATTCTCAAAAGGCTACAATACACTGGTGGTATTAAGTATTGATGATGTTTTGCATGGGTCTTTAATGCACATGAAATCTTAGGTAGGAATACCTAGAAATAGTTTAATTTGTGTGTTATATCCTTTATTACTAGTAATCAAGAGCTTGCTTCTGAATAATCCAAGCTCTCTTTATCTCCACTTGTGAGCTACAAAAAGAGAATGCCCTTCTAACTCCAAGGATTCTTTATTGCAGTGTAGCAGACTTCTTAGATGTGCATTCAAATGACAGGTTTTTTTTTTAAACTCAGGATGTATTCTGTGGGGTGTGGCCCGGAATACTGTATTGAATACGATTGGTGTTTTATCTAACAGTAATTTGCTTTTCTCCGCCTTCTGTGAAGGCGCTTAACTTTGGCAGATATTGAGAGAATAGCACCGCTGGCTGAAGGTGCATTACCTTACAACTTGGCAGAACTCCAGAGGCAGGTAGGTAGAAGTGATACATACAATAAAATTGTTGAAGTTAAGTGAATTTTTGCAGGTACTTGCATATGAAAAATAAAATACTTTAAACAGATTACTAACAAGTGAAACATGCTGTGTGTATTGCTATAAGGATAGAAAATGGGCCAGACTATTGAAAACAAGATATAAGATGTCATATTGAAGGATGGCCTGTTTAGCTATGAGCATGTATAGATACTTGGGTTCCTTACTGTGAATACATTTGTTCACTCCTGAAAAGGCCTTTCACTTACTAATTATTCCAACTCTGTAATTATAAAATTATTTTTAGATAGTAAAAAATATGAGTATTAAATGCAAGGCTTCTGAATGTATTCTTTTTTGAAATGATTGGCTCCATTTGGTTACATTTATCCAAAACGATAATTGAATTTTACTGTACTTGTTGCTGTCTACCTAGACAGTAGAAGGAGAAATCAAATTTATTGGGATTGATGAAAAGGGTAGAATTAGGAGATGAAAAATATTGCAGTAGAATGTTAAACCTCTATTTCACCAGACCTTTACATTCATGTTTGCTAGCTTTGCTTTTATCATAGTTTCCTTATTAAGCATATGCATGTATAGTACAGCATTAAGAGTCCCAGACTGTGCAGTAGGATTTTGAATATAAAATGTTTCTTACTTTGATGGCTCTTTTTACAACTGTAAGAACTGAAGATTTAGGACCAAACATTATGCAGGTGTTTATGTTTAGACTTTCCACCATAGTTACTGGGTACCATACTGCTCACTTTGAGGAGTATAGTTTGCAAGTTTGTGTTAAAAATAAATCTAGATTTTTGGGGCTTATCTTCACTACATTTTTGGTTCAACATATGATCTGAGAGGTTTTTATTTTGGAAGCATATCTGCCTAATACTAGTTAAGTTGTGAATTAAATTTTACCTTAACCTTCATCTAAAGTTGAACCTGAAGTACTGCTGATATTGAAGCTCACAACATAATGTGGCATCTGCTGTGCTGCTAATAGAAATACTCCATTCCATTCCAGGTACATTCTAGGGAAATAATTTTTCTGGAGCATTTTGTAGGTGACTGCTCTCACAAGAGTAGTTCAGGGGGAATTAACTCAACTGTTAATAATGTAAAGATAATAATGCACTCAAGAAAATCCTTGAAACGATTACACAGCAGGTTTGGAAAGGAAGACATACATACATGGTGAATTACATGGTTCCATAATCATAAAATTCACAGGCTGGTTGCACGTTGGTGTCTATTATGTAAAACAAAACAAATAGGATCTGATGCACAATCTTTATTTATTTTTCCTGTTAGAACTTTGTGAGAAATTGCAATTCCACATGAAAGCTGTATGTTCTTGAGTAAGCTTTACAAGAAAATATGATAGTGTTCATCTGAACCAGAGCATTTTGCTTCAAGGATGTTTCCACATCCCCTTTCCCTCTGTAATATACAAAGGGAAGTAGGATATATAATTCTTAAGATCTTGTATGAGCATATCCCATAGTTCTGACTAAATACATATTTGTATACTCAGCAGATAAGTATAATTTTTCATGCTGAAGGTTCCCATTTTCTTACAATGTCTAAACAACTCCAATTCTCTCTTTGGCAGTCTGTGTTAAGAGTTTATGTGGCGCCTATCAGGACATCCAAGGGCTCTGATTCCCAAGCGGGCATAGCCTGGCTTGGGCTGGGTTCTGCTCCCAGCTGCCCACACCTCGCTTGGTACGCAGGCAGCTGAGCTTCTTATGAATCAGCTGCTGAACGGCCACATCTTGCAGCTCAGCATTTATGGCAATCTGATGCTGGTGATGAGTTGTGTTAAAATGCTGCTCCTGAATTGCAGTGATTCAGCAACTGATCCCCAAGTAGCTCAGCCATCTGGGGCTGTTGGGGCAGGAGGACATGCAGCTGACAGCAATACCTTTGTCAGCCATTCTAAGCTACACTGTCCCCCGGTAAAGTGAAATTCAGATTCTCTGCCCTGGTGATGCCAGTGACAGATAGTACTGCTGCAGGGTGGTCTGAGATAAAGCGGCAGTGCAGTGACAAAATCACCCATGCCTTGTTTACCACGTGAATGTCCTGTATTTACCAGCGGATGAGGTGTCCCAGCAATCTGTCTGAAAATGAAAGCTTTCATTCACAAAGCCTTTTATTTCTCAGCTCACTTTTAATGCATATCACAAATAGGTTCCTTTAAGCAGTTATAACCACTACAAAATCTAGAATATGTGTCAGTGACAGGAAAATCTTTAATTAGTTCAACTGTTATGGTTGCAAGTTTTCCGTATGTGGGACTTTGAGGATATTTTGGTTACTGTTATTACAGGTGGATTTGATCATTAAGTTCTCTTTCAAACAAATTGGTCTGAAACGCAGTGTCTGGTCTGTTCTTAGTACTACTGCTCTGTTGTCCTTAGGCAATTAGATATACCTGAGCCAATGAAATAAGTGTCCAAAACCTATTTAATGGTAACAGCCTTCCTATGGATTCCTCAAGACAAGAATGATTAAATGGATTGATGCAGGAATGTGTATGCAATGTTTATCCAGACTAATGAGAAATATTTTTGCTGAAGTTTTGTAATTACATTCTGAACTGCCAAATTTGGTTTTAATTGGTGTCTTTGTGGCACTCACCTTTCCAAGTAGACAAAATTCTAACTTGGTTTGTTTTACGCTTCAGAATTACCTTTGTAGCTTGGTACTGTTATAAAAGGAGCTCATCGATTATAGTTTCACTCATCACTAGCACAGGAATATACTCTTTTCACACTCTTGGAGTAATACATTATATTTTCATCCTATTCTACATTCTGTGTTAAGAGAGCACAGCAGAAAGCAAAGTAATTTTATCTGTTTTATTAGGAACAGTCTTTTATTAGACCTTATCCTAAGTTAACCTTATATTACCTTATTAACTGTATCAATAAAATGAAAGATAACCCTTTCTTGAAGAGAGAATATCATTCCAGTGAGGTCCAGCTGTCCCTGAAAATTAAAACAAGTCTGTAATCACTTTTATGTGATTTTAAAATTCCTTCTTAAAGGAAAAATCTAAATTTCTACATAAACTCACTCTATCTGTATAGATTTGGTGGAATGGAAATTAGCCTGCTTTCAACCATGTTTACTTTATTGTCAATTTTTTCATTGTGTAAGATTTTTCTTAAAGCCTAGCAGCTGAATATCCTATGAGGATGACAGCTACAGTAATTTTCTGTTTATAAATATTCATGATTTGAAAGCTATAGCATTAATTACATTCATTTACATATCCATCTGAACATACAAGTAAACTGCAAACTTTGTGGCCACTTATTTAATAATATAAAAGCGCTGTTTCCTTCACAAAAAATCTGACTTTTAACATCCAGGGGCATATTCATTAAGAATAATGTCTGAACATAATGATTGGATTTTGATGAGAACTCTGGAGCTTAGAAGAAAAAGAATAACCTTAAAACAGCTAAAAGGAAGCAGGTGTGCTAAACTAGGAGAAAAGTTTTGTGGAATGAAGAACCAGTCCAGTTTCTAAGCCTTTTGGGGGTAGTATTATTGCATGTGTCTTTTATTTACATGAATCAAAAGAGATATCTCTGTATTTTTATAATTTTTTGTTATTTTGTTTTTATTGTGGTGGTTTGGCTTTTTTTTTTTTTTAGATCAGAGAAATTTAGTGTTTTGAGACTAGTGAGGGCATTCTTCAGATTTATTGCTTCTATTTGCTTGTAGAGGCAATATGTTTGATTTATACTTTTTTATGCTGGTCCACACGTGCAGTTCATACTTTTGGTGCTACCCAAAATTTCTGTGTTCTTCTCTGTTAAGCTATAGTTTTGGGGGAGCAAAATGTCTTGTGGAAGGAAATGGTGGTAGCAGGATCTTTTCCTTCTGCAGAAAACCAGTATAAAATATAATTAATATTTTTTTACAGGTAATGAACCCATCTTAATCTCATAGGCTTTTGTCCTACATTGTGTACACACAGTGTAACATTATACAACAAAGGCAGGTTTTTGCACATCCAGTGTAATACCAGTCCAAACATAGTAGCTAAACGCTGTCTTTCTGTGGAAGTTCCAGTTTCCAGAGCTTCAGTAAGCTTAACCAAAGTTTGTTAAGTAGTCTTGGTGAGCTCGCTGTGAAATGTGCACATGATAATCTTTGTGGAGAATTCATAATGTGCATCAGAGCAAAGCCCCCTGTAGCAGTCTGAGGTCTGTATGCATTCCAGCTGTGCTGTCAGGAGTGCATCTGCTAATGGTACAGGGTGTTTTTAAGAAAAACAGGTTTGTGTTTGGGAGGTGGGCTTTAGTATCTGCTTTAATATGGAACTTAACAGTTAATGTCTTGGCCACTTACATAGCCCAGACAAGTTATACTGCATAATATAAATTCTTTTGTAATCCCTTTATTTTTGTTTGGAAGAAGATTTGGCCCATTTTGCACACTTGATAGTGCAAGTTTGTGAACACTTGCATCTTGTTTACCAGTTACCTTGTTTTTAATAACCATCTAATAATATGATTATGAGTCTCTGCAAATATTTCCTCTGCAGACTTGTATTTATTTAAAACACTAATACATTTATAGTAGTGTATGTGATTGAAGTGAGTGAGGTCATCATTGTGTCTGTAAAATATCAACTGCCTGAAAAAATCTTGTGCAGAATACTTTGAGGAATAATTGACTTTTTGCTTGTTTTGAAGACATGAAATGTCATTATTATGCTATGTATTGACGAACATGTAATCTTAAAATACATCCTGTGCTGATAAATGATGTCTGTGAGATACTGAATTCATTTTGAGATACTGAATTTTATTTGAGCCAAGAGGGGGTTCCGTGCCTTATGAATTCAAAGGCAACAGAATGGAAAGTAGTGAAGTTTATTTGACTTTCTGTCTACTTTTTCTTGACCATAGGTGTTTCAGTTATACAATGAATAGGTAAGGAAGAATATTTTCTGAAAAGAACATTTGAAAAATGTGCTTCATTCATTAGGCATAGTGGAAGCTATATAGTAATTTCTCTTTCTTTTTTTTTTCCTCCTTGACATAAAGCGACCAATTTTTATCAGATTCTTTCTGTAACGTTATAAGAGCCAATTCACAGGCATCTTTGTTTTCCCATGCAGTTTTTCAAGTATTTTTTTTGTTTTCTTTTCCTCACACAGCAATCTTTTGGAGAGTTAGGCAGGCCTATCTGGCTCCAGGTAGCTGAGTCAGCTTACAGGTTCACTTTGGGCTCGATTGCTGGAGGTGAGTAATATTTCTTGAGACTTCTTTCTTATTTCCAACATATCAGAGATCTTACCAGCTTATATATTCATAAGAATTATATACTACACCAACAATGATGTTGCAGAAGTAATACTCCAAACCCTTTCTTACAGCTGTTGGTGCTACTGCGGTGTATCCCATAGACCTGGTGAAAACTCGTATGCAGAATCAGCGCTCCTCTGGTTCAGTTGTAGGAGAATTGATGTATAAAAACAGCTTTGACTGCTTTAAAAAAGTTTTGCGTTTTGAAGGCTTTTTTGGTCTTTACAGAGGTAAGTGAATTAAAAAAAATATATATTTAGTTGGGGATTTTCTGCCTTTTTTTAAATACCTCAACAGCTAGTTTCTTATGGGAACACCAGGAAACTTGGTATCATGTACAATTTGGCTTCTGTTTCATAGAGCTGGGTATTTCTGTTACCTTGAGCACTGTTCACTATAAACAATTGCTGGGCATATTTTTGTTGTTAGTTATTTGCTCCTTGCTGTTTAGGTTTAAAGTCCTAATTTCTGGGGTATGAGTGTTGTGGACGTGATAGTTATCTCACAAACTGAGGATCGTAACTTTTAGGGGCTGGGGGGCAAACATCAGGAGCAGATTAGCATCTGAGGAATAAAGATCCATTTTACTACAAATGTTTGTTGTTGAAAGAGACAAAAGACAGTCATTTTGAAATGTACCTGTTAAACTGGATGCCAGGTCTTATGCCTCCTACTTTTGCAGGTAGTGGGACTGGGTTTATGATTTTATCTTGTGAACAAGGACTTGCATCCTGCTGTCGTATTATGTTGCTCTATTGTACTTTAAAATAACAACAGTGAAACTCATAAAAGTTGTAATTTAAAAAAAGAAAAAAACTTCCTCTAAAATACAGATTAAGAATTCAAAGCTACTTTTTATGACTTGTATCAGTTAGACTGAAAGCTATCTTACATCTTCTTTTAGCTTAGAAGAAGATTCTGAACAGGTTTTCATCACATAAATAAAATGACTTACATAGAGGGTACGTGCTAGCCAGTCCTCTGAAACTGATATTTAGTTGAATTATCTATTTTTAATTGTCATTTCACATGAAGTAATGAAGCGCACAATTTTGACAAGGATCAGTAAGGTATTTATTAATTGGCACACTTTTTTTTTTTAGTTGGAGCAAAGTCACTCACTTCTGTGATGGTGACAGCCTTTTCTCCTGCTTTGCAATGTGTTCTGTCAATGAGGACAAGGGACAGTGTCCTTTAAGGACAGTATTTCAGAAGTTTTTGCATGTGAAAGTCTGTGGATTCTGGCTAAAGAGTTTTTGTAATCTTGCAGGCTTTTTTCTAGTGAGTAGAAAAGGAGTGAGTAGAGGGAGGAATATGTCAGTGAAAATGTTAATGAAATAGCTGTAATCTCCATAAATTACTGGTAAATTGTTTTATCTTTTTTGTTGCTAGATGTTTCACAAAAGCAAAAGCTCCTTGAGTTATGTTTATGAGACTTTTTTTCTACAGTGCTGTGGCCCCCCCCCCCCCCCCCCCAGTTTTGCACAGCAGCTTCTAAAACTGGTCATTTGTTATTCTCATTTTTGTTTCCCAACTTTTCTCAAACACTTTGAAATCAATAATGATTCCATTGATGAGTTAAAAGCAATGCTTTACACTTGAGAAAAAATGTGTTTGTTTGAAAGAATGTCAGCTTGTTAAACTTCCTAATAGTCTGTTTAATAATTGTCTCTAAGATTTTTTAGCATAACAAGTTCATGTTGTTTTGAAAATATTACAGTTAATGGTCAGCAAGTTACTAAGGTCTTGGACTCATAGAATTAGATGGTCTGTGAAAGCACATTAAGTGACAGAAACATGTGTGGAGTTTACTGTGGGTCTGTTACTGGGTTCTTATATTTCTGAGCTGGATTATCCTAATTGTATTATAATATAATGATACAATGTAGTTGTTTGCCACAGTTGAAAAAAATAGATCTGAATGCATACTGGAAAGTTCATATTTTTGAATAAAAACTTCTAATTTTTGGTCCAGAAAATTATGACACTTTTGCATCCTGGCATCTAACTTCAGAACTGATGAAGCATCTTCTAAAGTCCCTCACTAGACCATGCAGGGTCCTAGGTTCTCTGGCACACCAAATGTGTGTGCCCGAGTTCAGCTCCATAAGAGAAGGGGTGGGGAGGACTGTCTTCTGGTGTTTTGTCTGGTAGTTTTGGGTTTTTAAAGTGTAGGAACTGCAGAGCTGGATTTTCTTTTCAAGGTAGATCAGAGATTCAGGCTGGGAGGGCAGCATTTCTTTTTGTTATTGTCAACCTTTCTTTGTATTTAATAACTACCTTTCCTCAGCATAGTAAGTCTGTAAATTGCACAGAAAGTACTATGTTGGAAGAAAACACTACACTGCATATATTAACTGCTGCACTTTCTATTTAGGTGCATTTGCTCTGAGCTTCCTTTTAAGGAGGCAGTATAAAAATTCTGCAGGCTGAGTACTTTTGCTAATTCTGAACATTTTTTATTAATTTTAACTGTTACTCTTTCCACTTAACAGATAGTGGAAAACTGCATCAATACAGTTTTGTTGCTGTTATCTGTTATTTGATATCATTAGCATGGGATTTTTTGTTAGTTAACTGGCAAACACTTTTGACAAACTGATAGCCCGTAACCAAGGAATAACATTAGGAAATGAACACTTCTAATAAAAATAAGCCTTTTAAGTGTTATAATCTACACATATGCCAAAATGACTATGGAGAAAATGGATTTAAACATAACAGATTCTGTTATAATCTTGTATGTTAGGAAGTTAAGACTGCCATCTACTGATTTTTTTCTTAAACCTATTTAGTTCCTAGAAAAGTGTATGTGCTTTTGTCAAATGCAGTTCATTTTGATAGTAGCTATTTTCCAGGAGCAAGGGCCTTTTCAAAATTGGTTTCTCTCCACTAATGCTTCCTCTTGGTGGGATAAAAAATACTTAATAGTAACAGGGTTTAAAGAAGTTCATGCAACCATGTTGGACTGAACAAGAGAATATCCTTTATACCCTTAGTTGACTGGAGCCTGCAGAAAACTCAGGTTAGTGAGTCGAGTAGAAGCAAATTGATAATTTACCATAGTCATGTGTATATGTCACAATTAATCTCCTATGTTAAAAAGTAATTGCAGGCTTTATGGGAAAATGATATTAAGTGGCTAAAAAAGTCAATAAAACTCTTATCTAGCAGGCATATCCAAGGTGTATATTCAGTCCTTACCCTTTTTTTCCTTCTGTACAGCAACAGCATCAGGCTTGACTTGGTTGTGGAAGGCAAATCTGGTCACCCTTTTCATTACCATCTGCAACAGAAATTTTAATATAAAATTGCGTTGGTATGAATATGCAGTGTTCTAGCAGCATCATATAGATAATGCCATCCACCTCAAAGGATATCCCATGTGCAGAAAGACATTTCTATAGAGCTCTTATAAATGCTAGTTCCTGTATTAGGAAGATAATGTTGCCTTATGATGTCTTTGTTTCTATAGGCTTGTTACCACAGCTGATAGGTGTTGCTCCAGAAAAGGCTATTAAGCTAACTGTACGTATCTTTTTTTTTTTTTTTTCCTGGCATCCTTTTGTTTGTTAACATACACAGGATTTATTTCCTAAAAATGTGTGAAAGGTGACCACTTACAATATGATTACAGATTACTTGATATATGTTAATAAGGAGGAAAAATAACTTAAAATTGTGTGTAATGTATTGTATCTTTATTAGGTTAATGACTTTGTCAGAGACAAATTTACTAAGAAAGATGGTTCCATTCCACTCCCTGCAGAGATCCTTGCTGGAGGCTGTGTAAGTATCCATCCTGTATTCCTCGGAAAAATGGATTCTTAGTCACATGCAGTATAGTTGGAATGACAGTTAATGGGTGTGCTGTGTTGATTTGAACAAAACTGTTCTTTTTTCTCCCAGTCACAAGAAAAAAAAAAAGTACTTTTTCTGTTTGGAAAGCTTTGCATACTTCTGAGTTGAGTTCCCTTGGAGTTACATGCTCGAACTACTTCTCTTGGCCTGCTTTCTAACTTTCAGTTTCAGCCGTGGTTTTATCCACAAAAGGTTGAAGAGAGGGTGCCTTTTCTCCCTTTCCATACTTTTGCTTGGGTTGGTGTTCATGGTTAGTTTGGAAAGATACAGCTGAGAATGGATTATAGAGATCATGTTGGAGTTTGCTTTGGTGGGGGTGGGGGAGCTATAACAGGTTAAAAAATCTATTTCTTGCTGAAGATTTTAAGAAGGAAAAGAAAGACACTCTTCAACTTGCTATATGTGAAATTTTTCTGTTTGTGAAAAAGTGGAAAATCTGAACAGTGTAGTCTGTTCTTTCAGATAACAGGTATTTCCTGTTAAAATTACTTCATATAAAATGTAGCTACATTACTGCAGATGCTAACTACATCCATCATATATATACAGTTCAAAAACAAGTTTTGTTTTCATTGATATTGGGGGCTGTAATTCAGTGGATGTCTTAGCAGTCTGTAAGTGGTTTGAATTAATATTGATGATAGATTTTTTTTTTTTGCTTTTGCACATTGGCTAATTTCATTTGTGGGATTTCCCAACAGTTGTTAAACCTATAAAATGTTTAAGGCTTGAGTTAGGTTTCTTTTGTAGTGGAGAACACTAATAACTTCCAGTTGAGTAGGCTGACAGGCTGGTATAAAACCTCCTCAGCTTACAACAAAACCTGGGGCAGAAAGGTTGTTGACCTCTGCAAACTTTTAATTCAAAGAAGCAGCCCTGAAGGGAGGCTGCTTATAGTTCTGCCTGATTTAATTTGGCAGCCTGGTACATGCTTGAGTCTTCACCTGTCAGTGTACAAAGTTTATTTTCTGAGAAATGTGAGAAAGCAGCTGTGATGTATAGCTAGCAAAAGACTAACCTTTTTCTGGGAAGCTAAATAACACAGAAAGCACATACAGGTCATTTATAATAGAAATGAATATAATTCATTAGTGTTTTTCTCTGTGTTGTGGTTAAATTCATAATTAAGATCAAACACCTGATAATAAGTTCTATTATTTTACGTTCTTTTGTACTGAAATGTATAATGTTAAATTCAATCTACATTAGAGGCTTTTCCACTTCCTGGTAGGTACTTCTTTTTTTTCAAACTAACTTCATTGTCTTACTGTAATGAACATGCAAAAATTGCAGAGAAACGTGAGTTTCAGATAAGCTTTCAGAAATTTGGATGTTTCTGTGAAGCTGAGCAGATTTATAATCTGTCCAAACACAATCCTTTCTTCTAGCTGACTGTCTTAGCTGATATCCTCATCTTCTTTTTCAAGATAATACTTACCTCACTCAATGTGGGAGCATTTTAAACAAAGCTGGCCTTTGTAGCAAAGGAGTTGGCCACAGTTTAGCAACCTCAGGGATGTTAATTTCTTTGTAGCCTCCTCTGGATCATCTGGTATTTTACCAGTTAATGACTTTTCTGTAGGTACTGCTGTTTAGTTCCATCTTGGCAATTTCACTTCTTCCTAAATATGAGAATCTTTATTAGCAAGCCTATAAAGTTTATTCTAAAAGTCTGAAAGGATCAGTTGACTAAAGCAGGAGGAAGTTGGTATGTTAGTCTTTCTTTTTCTCATCCTCAGTCCTTTTAATCCTCAACTCTTTTCTGTGTTGACCTTCTTGGAAATAGTGTTGATTTTCGCCCTTCTGATGTTCATTGTATGCAGTTTTTTCTATAAAATATTATGGGACATAAGCAAGAGTCACATCCAAGGAAGTGCCACAAATAAGCCTAGTCCATTTCTACATGCAGGGGCACGCAAGACTTTCTGTTTGGGTGTTGCTACCTTTCTTCTTTTTTTTTTTCCTTTATTCTATTCCTTCTCTCTCTGTTAGTACAAAATGACGGGTTACTGTGGGACTGACTGGATTTTATATATGCCAGAATTATTTTCAGCATCTGGATGTGGGTAGCTTGGTTTTTTGTAGCTTTTCTTTATTGTTCGACGCTTAAATATTTTGCTAATGGTACACTATAAAAATAGGCTAAATTCAAAACATGATTTTCACCTTGTCATAACATCAGAAGAAACAGCATTATACCTGTATGTAGTTCTTGGACATGTACTTACTACTGTCTCTGACCATCACTTGCCTGTGTTTAGTGTTGAACCTTCTCCTGATTAACAGGAATCATGCACCTTTTCATCATTTCTGGTATGGAACTGGTAGTGGATGAGCAAGCCATATTTTCAGCTGTTTTATAGATTATTTTTTTTTACAGCAGAGGCCTTCCTGACCTTTGAAGGCCCACCTTCTTGCAAGCCATACAAAAGCACATTGTGCATGCCACAGTCCTCAACCAGGAATAAAAAAAATTCTCGTGAGGAAGTGGAGGCAGTTTGGGAAAGGCTCCAGCAGACCTAGCAAATTCTCCTCTCTGGATGGCAGTGCTGTATCAAAGCCTACATATGGTGTTACAGTCTTCTAAGACCCACACATGAGGACAGGTGAAACCTTTGACATTAAGACAGTAGTGATTCAAGATAACCTGTGTAGGCTGTATAGCTCTGGAGTGTCTGCAAGAAGTGCTATACCATCCAGCAAAGGGGCTGCCCACAGGCATGTGCCTCCTCCAGAAATGGTAGCTCCAAGAGACTGGATCTCTTTGGCCAAAATCTTATTCCTCAGGCTCCAATTGTTCTCAGCTCCTGTAAGGTTATGGAATAAACTCCTGTTCTGGGTAAGAGGAAGTGTCTTCATTCTCCTAGCCATTAACAAAGCCATCTGCCCACGCAGCAGCCTGTTTCTATGGTCAGCCGCCTGTCTGTTGTCTTTCCTTCCTTACTGCAGGGCAGGGACCTCCCGCAGGCAGCCTGTGCCCTGTGCTCCTTGAAACCTACCTGCTAGCCGCTGGGCAGTGTAAATGTCATTGGGAAGTGTAGGGTCTGCTCTGTCAGAGCCCAAATATTCCCAGCTGCTTGCAAGCTGTAGCTGTATTTGAAATCTGCAGAACAGCTTCGTGGGGCGGCTCAGTTACAGCGGTCAGGTCATACCTGTCAATGAAAGGGCTCTGGTCCCTGATGGATGAAACTGATATCCCATCTTCCTACCTTCCCGAGAGTAGGCTGATTTGTTAATCGTCAACAGTACTATCCGCACTTATGCATGTTCAGAGAAAATAATTTATTTCCCTACCGTTACTGTAATTAATTGAATTACATTTCATTGTAATTCAGCGATTAGCCTGCATTTCTGCCTTTGGAGTTTTCAGCTACCATTAGCTTTGAGTTGCAGGGGGACTGAATGAGGCTTTGGCAATGCTTTCCTGTATCCTGACAGTGGCTGGGGAAGCAGAGAGCGCATGCCTGGTATGGACAGTGCTTCTCAAAGGAACTTAGACGCATGACGCATGTGAGCATGTTGTGAAGGGCAAGGTGCTGTAGGGCGACTGTTCATCCTCGGTTGGGAAGCAATGTTGAAGTAGACATCTAATGCTATGTAAGTGATTCATAAGTACTGTTGCAGTAGACAAAGATACTGTGATTTTAAGCTGTAATTCCTGAGAATTACACAGAAAGAAATGGGTTCTTCTCATCAATGCAATGTGCATGGTGCTTAGCATTTTGAAAGGTTGAATCCTGTCTCACCTGAAAGACATTTCCGATTTGTGCTGCAAGGAGGAGGAGGATGTGGGGTGCCAGACAGAAAGGGACAGAACCCTTCTTGGAGGTGTAGGCAATGCATCTGTTGATGATTAGAGGTTGGGATGTGTGTGCGTGTATTTGCACATGCATACACACAGAGATCCAAATCTACCAATTATTTAAAAACTTTTGTATATTTAAAGAAAATCTAATGTTTAGTCTAAATATTTTGATATACTTGTAAAAATAATTTTCATATGTATTTATACATATACACATACGTACACACAAACATGTATATAGGCTTATCAGGCAAATAGGAACATGTCCAATATTTCTTTTTGAAAAAATAATGTAAAATGTTACTGGTTTTATTTAACAAACACAGAAGTATAGAATTATAGCTATCAGACTACTTTTCCTTCAAAATCTTGAAGATACGCTACTTCTTTTAATATACTTTAAACAGATAAATTTAGAAGCAGAATTAAACTTGTCTGCAATGGAGATCAAGATAAATCAGTAATTTAAACTTAGGGAGAAATTTATTGTTTAGTAAAAGAGACAGTAAGCTTGCTGTAGGTGCATGAATGATGACAGCTTTGCCTTGAGAAAGAACTGCAAGTTCTTTTGATGTTTTTAAACCAGACTGTTTTAAGTAACATCTTATTTTAGCTGCTTGTGTGGGACATAGTTGTGGTCCAGGATGTGGTAGTTTCAAAAAGGAAGGAAGGAAGGGCTTGAAATAGGCCTCTCCCCCTTTGTAGCATATGCCTCTCGGGTGGAATTGGAAAGGGCAAGAGGTCTCATGTTGCAGGGTCATTTGTGTATTTCCTTCAGCCTTTGGCATGTCATGGGGCGTTTGCTGTGGGATCTCAAACTACATCTTTTCTCTCATAACCTTTGCTGTCAGATTTAGTTCCTTTATTTGCTCCTTGTAGAGTTATTTTACATGACATTAAGGTTAAGTAGAAGCTTTTATTACTGGTATTTTTGATGTGTATGAATAACCTCCATTCAGAAACAAATTTGTCAACCTTTTTTAAAGTGTCTGTTGTAATTTATGTGTGAAGGGAGATTTTTATGGGGGGAAAAATCTAGATTTAGTGCACTTTCTCCAAAAGAAATTCAAGGACTGCAATGTATACCTCTGTGTGTATATACATGTGCACGTGTATTTAACATACATAGCTGACAGCTGAAGTAAGATACTTTGAAAAAGAATGATGATGATCGCCAATGATTTGCACAGAAGCATGGAGATTTGTATTGCAACCCTGCACGCTGCCAGTTCATTTTTATTTGGAGATACTTTGTGTCATTCTCCTGTGCATCCTCTTCTGGGGAGTGCTCTTCCGCTGCTCCCCAGGCAGCGCTCTTCTCCACCTCACACGTTCTTTGTCAGATAGGCAACCGTTCACTTAAAAAGAAAAACAAGCAAACAACAGGCCTTGCATTCATTTTTTAAAAAATACACAACGAAAAAGTGAGTTTTCTTCCATTACATGTTCTGTATTAAAATCAATGCTTGTCATATCTGTACTTGTGATGTTTAAGGACCTAACTCATTCATGCAACCCCAGTGAATTCAGTGCCCCTCTTCAGGTGAATCAAATCACTGCTGTCCAGAAAAGTTTGCCGAGCTCCATGTAGGACTGTACGAAAAGTCAAGACTTGGACAGAAGTACATGTTGCTAATAGGGAGTTTTTAACTGGGTATCTTGACAGTTATATCTCTTTTTGAGAAAGCTGCCGCTTGAGAAGTTTGTCAACACTGCAAATACTCAATGTTCAGAGAGTTAATGTAATTAAAGAGCTTTTCACATGGTTTTCTACTGATAATAGAAACACATGTTAGGGTTCTCCTCATATTTTATTTTGCTCAATAACCTGCCATCAAGTCATATTTTAATATTAGTATTTTCATAATATATAATTATGTATCAACAATATACAATTTGTAACATTGTATATATAATTAGTATTGCTACTAAATTATTCAAATGCATTGTGTTTAGAGTCTTCTGTGTTAATTTCTGTATCAGAAGAGAGTTGTTGCTGATTTTAACAGAAAGGTAGGCAGTTGTGCACCTAGGAGAGGAGAATGTTAATTGCAGGAAGATTGCATTCAGAGTAGAAAATAGAAATGTTTACGAATTGGCCTATTTGTGTTTCTGTGGTGGGTGTTAGGCAAATAGGAAGAGTTATTTTGGCTGCTCCGCAGGATGTGCTAATTTATAACATTAAAAATAAAAAATGGAATTTCACATATATATGTAAACAAAGAATGCATATTTAATAGGCAGGTAGCAGGTAATTGCCTAGAAGGAGTGAATTTCTAGCTTAGTGTCTAAAGTTATTTGAACTTTTTCTGTGGTACATTGTATTATGTAGTAGAAGCATTCTGCTTAATGTTTTATCTATCAAAATTATTTTAAAAAATGATGTTGGGAAATGATAAACATTTGAAATTGGTTTTTTAATGCAATACAAACAAAAAAATTGGTTATTGTCTAACAGAACGTGCCAGATGAGAATTTTCTAAGTTTTATTTAGCTTGGAACTTTGCCTGGCAGGACAGCCATTTCATCTTGCATGCATAGGTGTGTATGAACTGTGAAGGAAAAGGTGAGATGAGAAGTAAAGAGAGTCTGAAGAATGGCTTTGGGCACGAGTGGTGTCAGGTAGCGGGGTAAACACAACGCATTAAATCTAAGGAACAGAAGATGGGATCAGTTTGGCTGGTCTGGGAGTGCCAGTCATCTTCCTGATGGTTGCAATAAACGTCCACAAAAATGTAGGCTTTGATTTTCTTTCAAAGGGATGAAGAAGTGAAGGAATAAAATGAAGATTAAGAACCTAGACTGATTATTTGAGTGGAAAGTGTTAAAGACAGTTACTACTACAGTGGAGATAATTAATCAAAAGCAGGGGTTGATCTTCCACTGTTTGGGTCAAGGTGCTTTAGTAAAGTCGTAAGAGTGATGATTTTAAATGTCAATATTGAGTGAAGTAATAAACAGGGCTTGCAGTGAAAGGATGGCAGTGTGCTCAGTAAAGGTTCAGTGAAGTATCGGGTGCTTGCTCAGTGGAGATTCTGATGCTTCATTCCCCCAGCCCATAGATACTACCCAAGTGCTTGGTCATTCTCAGTAAGAGCTGTTGAGGTTTGCAATGCTCTTTTGTCTCAAGTCTAGAATAATTCAAGTTACCAACTTCTAAGGCATGCTTCAGGGCTAATCTCAAGTTTTTTCTGCCTGCTGCTGGAGAGAGGAAGATTGTGCTGTAGGCAGAAAGGATTAGCGTTCATTAGTTCTGAATCAATTAGCAGAGAAAATGATGCATACTGTCCAGGAGGTGCTGGAGCAGACTATTGATTTTCCTTCACACAGACAGCACTCCCAGCATCACAAAGAGAGTTTATTTCCTGGGCAGTTTAGCAGTGGAAAAAAGCTTTAATTGTAGATGTTCTGCATCTTTCTCCTTCACTGAGATTTGATGGGTTGGAGGAATAGATCAGGATTAAGAGGTTTTAGTTTGTGGAAGAAGTGCTTTCTAAAGTTGGCTGTATTCAAGTGGTTATATGCTATAAGTTTTAAGGAAGTGATTTTAATTTTAAAATTAAAAAAGGTGGTTTAGGAAGAGAGGAAAGGAAAGCTTAGTAAAATTTAGCTGTTTTGTAATGAACCACACACTTCTCCAGAAGTGATTGGTAGTACGTACAGCAAACCAGGGAGAAATCTAAACATGTCATTTTAAATAGGCTTACATGCTTCTGAAACTGAACTGTCAGATTGAATCTCTCTCAAATCTGAAACACAGTTCTTTGAAAGTCTTTGGTTAAAGTGCTGCTTCTGAAGCAGCTCTGCAACGCTGTTGCTAGGAAGTATGCAAGATAGTCCTTCAGCACTGCTAACAGAGTATTTTGTGCATATAAAATCTGTCGTGCTCAGCTCAGAGGAAGATATGACTCCTGTTTTTTTCTAGTATCGTATTTTGAAATGTTACTCTTCCTATTTAAATGTTATATTTTGTTTCCACTTAGGACAATTAAAGGCTGCTAAACAAAACTCCAAACACCTTCTCTAGTAATTTAAAATTACACTATTAAATGCAAATTTACCTTTTTAACAGCATCACCACTAAATGCAAATAACACGTCTACACATTGGTGATGGATTATTATTGAATAAACATAAGGTCTTCTTTATATGTGTTTGATGCTCTAGTAGCACAAGTCTAATGAGTATTTTAGTTTAGTATTTTGTGTAATATCTGATAACTTTAACACAGCTACAACTTCTAGAAGGTGATGTCAAGGAGAAAAGCAGAGACAGACTGAATTAATCTACCTCTGTGGACTATAAATATATAAATGTAAAAATTTATTTCATACAAACCCATGATTTCCAATTCGGGGCTTTTAACTTCCAGACAGGTACTTTATTAAATACCTCTCCTGTAATTTTACATGAGACTATCAGCCACATCAGTGAGAAGTGAAGGCACTCAGCACCTTGCAAAAGTCAACCTGTCGCCACCTCCTCTAGTAACGCAATTTACTTTCTTTTTCTTTGGGTTTGCAGGCAGGAGCTTCCCAAGTCATCTTCACTAATCCACTGGAGATTGTAAAGATTCGGTTGCAGGTAGCAGGAGAAATTACTACAGGACCCAGAGTCAGTGCCCTCTCTGTTATAAAAGATTTAGGCCTTCTTGGTCTTTACAAGGTATGTATTTCTGCTTTGAGTGGCTTCATCGGTTTATGTTTTATGCTAAACTTTCACATTGTTGAAACAAAAACTCTTATAAACAAAGAAACCTTTTGAATTTAAAACCAATCTCTTCCTGCAGGGCAGCCCCACAGTGGAAAACTGAAGAAAACCCACTTCTAGATTAATGGCAGTGGGATACAAAAAATACTCCCCCATTCTATCCTTTGGGCTTTTATGCCAAGCTACAGGGAGCCCTGTATTGCAGACCTGCTGGCTTCTGGCACTGATCATTTGATTTGGTGGGGTTCTGCGAAAAGTTTCTTTAGCTTTCCCTGTGTGTTTTTCTTAAGGTTTATTTTGAATCTCTTTTATCTCTATTGTTATCTTTGCAGCAGGATATTCTCTTTGTCTTAATAATTTGACGCCAGTGAAACAGTAGTGGAGTTTAGCAGGATTCAGATTTTTAAGAAGTTAAGTGGTGGGATTTGTCAATAACAAATTCCACTAAAAAAAAGCCTATACTGTACGGTACCTCAGCAGAATGCCAGTCTGCAGATTCCTTCCCTGCAGGTACACTTACTACCATCATTACAGATCAGATGTAATGGAGCAGAAGCTATTAGTTTTCTTAAACAAGGAAGAGTATTTCTTCCTGTATCTTCTACCAGTGCAAGGGGTAATACGTAAATTCAGCAGTTATATTAGCTGTGCACTTACAAAACATTGGTTTATGTGATTTGTCCATAGACCTGCAATAATACTATAAAAATGTGCAAATTTACTTTTAGAGCTGAAGCTTTTGTTTTGAATTCAGTGGATCAGATTCATGACCATTACATTTCCTAAAGATCACAAGTGTTTTGGTACATAGGACAAAATTACCATTTCTGTTTACAGTAAGGAAACAACTGAGCCTACGAAAAATTCTGCCGTTCTTTAGAATTGCATTATCATTTGTGAATAATTGAAAGAACTCATTTTAGAACATAAAGTATCTGCATTAAAATCACTGAAGGGACGACTTTTTCTTTATCCGGTCTTCTGCTTAAGCCACATGGGGTTTGTAACGTGTGCTTTCTGTTATTGTAACTGCTGGGTGTCTGGCCTCAGGTGGGTCCGCTGCATGCAGGCTGCTGGCTTGGAGTATACTTGGTTGGGAGCCAGGAGTGGTGTTTTTGTAACATGCGAGCTTTCAGGGTATGCAGATGAGATTTTTGGACATAGAAGTGCTTATTTGAGCTTTGTTCAGAAAGAGTTATTTTAGTCTGATAACAGACTGATGACTGAAGTTACTAAAAGAAGAATATTGGATACGTTTTATTACGAGTATTCCACTCTTTTTACAGCATGCAAAATTCTGTGAAGGAACTCTTTGAAGGGAGCTACTCCTTGCAGTATTATCATAGGCCACTAGTTTTGTCTCCCTACATTTTCCCTTGACTAAAAGACTCCCATTTTGCGATGGTTTCCCTCTTTTTTGCTAGCTTTCTTGTGCAGCTTCTTCAGTCAACCAGGTGACGATCAGTGGAGATCACTATGCGGTCTTACAGTCCTCACCGGTATTTTAGTAATGCTTTTGTGTTTGGTGGAAGTAATGGCATGCAAGGACATGTCTTGCTGCTTCTGTGGTTGTGGGTTGTTGTCAGCAAGACATAAGGACAGACCTTTGTCACTTTCTTCATCGCATTTGGACACGTATATCCTAGGTACTGATGTCAGGATACATGATGTCACATAGTACTTACCAAATTAGACACGAACCTTGAATCTTCCTCATGCTAGAAACTTACTTTAGATGTGCTTTATTCTTTTTTCAAGTTCAGCTCTAGATCTTCTGTTTCCTGAGTCATTTTATTTTCTGTGTTACTTACCTGGTAGATTGAAAGAGTTGGTACTTCCTGGGCTCAGGCTGCTTGCTGGATACTAACTTTAACCTTATTTACAAAATTTATTTGTATTATGTCTATTTTCTGTGTGACAGGGTGCCAAAGCATGTTTCCTCAGAGACATTCCCTTTTCTGCAATCTACTTTCCTGTTTATGCTCATAGTAAACTGATGCTTGCTGATGAAAATGGCCATGTGGGAGGGCTTAATCTCCTTGCAGCTGGAGCCATTGCAGGTAATTTTGCAGAATGTTTTCTAGAAGTAATTTTTTTTCTTTTACTGAGTAATATTTAATATTCATTCAGTAGCCCCATATAAAGGAAGGGTACTGTACCATTGTATCTGATTTAATCTAAATTTGATCACTGTTATCCTTAGTGGGAGGCGATGTAATTTTGATGAGAGCTAATTACATTTGCATAATGTGGATAAACAGCGTAATGCAGCTCGGCAACTTGTAGTCAAATTTGATCTGTCTGTCTCAATGGGGTTTTAGTTGTTACTGTGCTCTCAGAGTTGAAGGCTAATTTGAATCTTTGATGAACATAAAATGAGGTATCATAAGAGCTAAGAAGAAAATGACTTACCTAGTTTTGGATTCCTGAATAACTGAGAAGAAACTTAGTTTAAATGTAATTGCTAAAAATAGGGCATTAGTTTGTAAAGAAGCTGAAGTTAAAGTATCATACTCTGAAATTTACAGTATTTTAGGGCTTTTCAGTAATGTTTAGTATAAAGAGGATAGGCAGCCATGATAAAAAGTTGTTTTTACTAAATGGCAAGTGGTATGAAACTACTAGATGAGGGAACTCTAGTGGTGGATACTTAAAAATGCGGATACAGATGGCCAGATCCTGCACGGCCAAGGCTTAGATTGCTAGGATGAAAACCAGGTACCTGCAGCCCCTCGATCGTGAATGATTCAGTGTTGGATTCTGTGTGGTGTAGAAACATCCTTGGGCTGAAGAGACCTTTTGTTACCTGCTACAGTCGTAAGGAATCGCTGTATACATCAGTCGCAAGCCGTCTGT